TAGCATATTTTATTTATCTTTATTATTATTATTATTATTATTATTACTATTATATTGGCACCAGTATTTTAAGTTCTTCATCGATATTGTCGTGGCATTATCATCGTCTTGAAATGAGTGTTTACATGCATTATTCTGGCTCCTGGAATCAGTCTATCCACATGACTTCTTGCATATACACGTTCACGGAACCAACCTTGAGAGACCTTTATTCCCTGGTGTATTTATTGTCGGGGATGCTGAGTGATTGTCTCCCTAAAGGTGGTGGTACAGTATTGTTTTCTCTCTCTCTCTCTCTCTCTCTCTCTCTCTCTCTCTGTTTCTTCACCGCCAATGTCTTGTTGCGTTGTTTTTGTCATACTCCATCTTATTGTTGTATCTTGCCTTATGTCTTTCTTATGAGTGACATTATTAATTGTTATTATTATTATTATTATTATTATTATTATTATTATTATTATTATTATTATTGCTATTATTCTTTTTATTATTATTATAATTGTTTTTTTCACTCTCTCTCTGTTCAGTTTGTATGTATTGCATTGTTTGGTTGATTTTTTTTTGCGTTTCCAATTTTTCTCAAGATTTTTTCTGAAGCCCTCTTATTTGTTTTTCTCCTTTTAATAACTTCCAAAACATAAATACTAATAAGAAGATCATTACATGCCAATCAAGAGCGGCACAGTGCACTCGTCCAGTCAATGTTGACACCTGGGCCAAGTTATTTGTACCTGTATGCCTTCCGTAATTTACTTCTTATACTCAGGAGTGTTGTCTGACCTTCCTCTCTCCACCCCTGACCGTCCTAAGGTCCTTCACTACTTGGTCTTCCTCGACTCAAGTTCTGATTTGATTTTCGTGTCACTGGATAGAATGTGTTGGGTTTTTGTTACCTGTTGGGTTAAGGAATATTTTTGTTTTGTTGGAGTGACGGCTATTTTCGTCTTAATTTCTTGTCAACTTGTCTGTCATGTGATTTTTGAGTAGTTTCAGGATGATGGTACAGTCTCACCCAAAACTTCGTCAACTCCCCCAGCCAGCTATTGCTGCACTGCCTGCTTCAGAGTATGAACTTGAGTCTGTTACTTCGAACCTTTAGACTCATTCGTATCGGTTTCATATTCTGGTTGGTACTGAGGCAGTTTCAAACATCTGAAGCAGGCAGTGCAGCAATAGCTGGCTGGGGGAGTTAACGAACTTTTGGGTGAGACTGTACACACACGTATACTTGTATAAAACAAATAATGCACGCACGCACGCACGCACGCACAGAGGAGGAGGATCAGCAAACCATCCTGACTATACTAGTTACAGAACGCCTCGATAACTGAATTAAACTTGCTCTTAATTGCGTTGGTCTTGGCAGCTTGAAATGACTCGCCGCGAACCCCTCTTAAAACCCAGGGAGAGGAAGATAGACACAATCCCCGCTGGATCCTAAGGTTGGTAATGCAGGCAAGCCCTTTGCGTAAATGAACCTTAAAAGTGTTTGAGGGGTTGGCCTTAATTGCAGGAGGGCGTGTGCGAAATGTGACCTTGTTCGAAAAAGTTTCCCTCCCCCAGTCCTCACCGAAGCCAGACTCTCCTGATAGGAAAGAATGGAGCGGTATCATAAACTGGGAAAATATCGATAGTTATGGGAGTGTTTAGCATGGCTCGTCATGGCAAGACTTCAAGGAACTCCATTAAGGCACTGTCTCACCCGATAATGTTCTTTACGGTCGCACGAACTAGTTCAGTGTGTAGGGAGTGTAAACTAATAATAATAATATATTGTAGTATTTGCCATCCTCAAGACTAAGAGAATACGAGGCCGTTATGTCGTATGCTTGTAATTATCATTACCTGGTCACTCTTCTTGAATACGATACTTAACAAAACAAAGATTATTATTTGCCTCATACCTTGATGTTACAGTGTCATGCTTTGTCTCCGAGTGAGTGACGGCTCTGCTTCTTCTACGTGATAACCAAACTGTGGTGATCAAGTCCTGGACAAAAGTGATGGCAAAGAAAGAACACTGTGTAGTGATTATTTTTCTGAAAGTTGTTTAACTTCTTTGTTGCTTGAATAAGCTCTCACACACACACACACACACACACACACACTTTATAAAAACATCCTTAACATTCATAAGTTATCGTTCTTCATCGTGGTTCCTTAGAGGGTTCATCGTGGTTCCTTAGAGTTCATCGTGGTTCCTTAGAGAGTTCATCGTGGTTCCTTAGGCGGTTCTTCGTGGTACCTTAGAGGGTTCATCGTGGTACCTTAGAGGGTTCATCGTGATTCTTTAGACGGTTCATCGTGGTTCCTTCGAGAGTTCATCGTGGTTCCTTAGGTGGTTCATCGTGGTTCATTAAGCGGTTCATCGTGGTTCATTAAGCGGTTCATCGTGGTTCCTTAGGCGGTTCTTTGTGGTTCCTTAGAGGGTTCATCGTGATTCCTTAGAGAGTTCATCGTGGTTCCTTTGCGGGTTCATCGTGATTCTTTAGACGGTTCTTCGTGGTTCCTTAGAGAGTTAATCGTGGTTCCTTAGGCGGTTCTTCGTGGTACCTTAGAGGGTTCATCGTGGTTCCTTAGGCGGTTCTTCGTGGTTCCTTAGAGAGTTCATCGTGGTTCCTTAGAGAGTTCATCGTGGTTCCTTAGGCGGTTCTTCGTGGTACCTTAGAGGGTTCATCGTGGTTCCTTCGAGAGTTCATCGTGGTTCCTTAGAAGTTTCATCGTGATTCTTTAGACTGTTCTTCGTGGTTCCTTAGAGAGTTCATCGTGGTTCCTTCGAGAGTTCATCGTGGTTCCTTAGGTGGTTCATCGTGGTTCATTAAGCGGTTCATCGTGGTTCCTTAGGCGGTTCTTCGTGGTTCCTTAGAGGGTTCATCGTGGTTCCTTAGAGGGTTCATCGTGGTTCCCTAGAGAGTTCATCGTGGTTCCCTAGAGAGTTCATCATGGTTCATTAGATGGTTCATCGTGGTTCATTAGATGGTTCATCGTGGTTCCCTAGAGGGTTCATTGTGGTTCCTTAGATGGTTCATCGTGGTTCCTTAGGCGGTTCTTCGTGGTTCCTTAGAGGGTTCATCGTGGTTCTTAAGGGGCTCAACAACTGATCACCACCTTCAGATTATCTCTATTCGTCGGCACATCCATTGTTTGCATCTTCCCCCTCATATTCCTCCGTTATCTTATGTTCCCCTCTCTTCCTTACCCTTTTTCACCTTCCTTCCGGCTTTCTCCTTTATTCTGTTTCTCAGTATTCCTTGTTCTACTCCTCCTCTCTCTCTTCTTCTTGTCTGTTACTCTACTTCTCACGCTCTCTATTTCATCTTTCTCTTCCTCGCTCTACTTTACTCCGACCTTGCTCTACTTTCCCATTTCTTCCTTTCGTCTACCTCTCTCTCTCTCTCTCTCTCTCTCTCTCTCTCTCTCTCTCTCTCTCTCTCTTGTTCCTTCTTCTTCCCTTCATCTTTATTCATTCGTTCATTACCTTCATTTTATCTCCCCTTCCCTCGCCCTCCCGCCATCCACTCCCTTTCAGTCCCACCCTGTCCCTCATTTCCTTTTTCTTCCCTCTTCCCCTATCATTCCTTCTCTCCTCCTTCCTGCCTTCTTTTAACTCAATCCTTCCTTCCTAACCCCCACTTTGTACTTCCCTTTTTCACCCTTTCCCTCTTCCTCCTCGTCCTTTTTCTTAACTACTGCCTCCTTCACTAACTCTCCTCCCATACCCTCTCTCCCTTGTCCCTTCCCTCTGCCTTGGCTCTTTCTCTAGCACTTTCCCTCTCCTCTCACCCACTCCATCCCTCTCCTCTCTACCCCATGCTCCCTCCCTCCCTCTTATAGAAGTACCCTATATATTCTTTTTCAATAATATTTTATGAGTTTTACAACGTATGGGAGTCGGGTGCACTACTAAGGTCTCCCTATTTGAAAAGGTTCCTATGCAAACTACAGTACTTTATATGTACACTTCTCGGTAGGTGCCAGCCAGTGCACCTAACAAGATTGATGTATCCTTTTTGGGGGGTTTGGTTAGTTTAGGTTAGGTTAGTATAGATTAGGTTAGTTTAGGTTAGGTTAGTTTAGGTTAGGTTAGTTTAGGTTAAGTTAGTTTAGGTTAAGTTATGTTAGGTTAAGTTACAGTAGGTTAAGTTTATGTCAGGTTAAGTTAGGTTATGTAAGGTTATATTAGGTTATGTTAGATTAGTTTAGTTTAGGTTAGGTTAGGTTAATTTAGGATTAGGTTAGGCTAGGTTAGGTTAAGTTACAGTTGGTTAAGTTTAGGTTAGGTCACGTTAGGTTATGTAAGGTTATATTAGGTTATGTTAGGTTAGTTTAGGTTAGGTTAGTTTAGGTTAGGTTAGGTTATGTTAGGCTAGGCTAGGCTAGGCTAGGACCATGAGAGATGTACAGGACCATGACAGATACACAGGGACATGACTTACACAGAATACGAAGAAACAAATGGCTGAATTTATATTTATATTTATGGTATTTGTATTTTCGCTTTGTAATGTGCGTCTCTCACTGACTATTTTATCCACTAAGAACTTCTGCATCAGCTTCGGGGCCTTTGGACATCCCAGAAGGACCATATATCACCATACAAGATCATAGACTTATGTATTCATCAGTATGTGTGTTGCGTCTTTACCACATTGTGCACCTTATGTGGTCTCGTGTACTTACTCTTATGGTCTTCTTCACATATTCGATGATACACAGAAGCTGTTACCATTATATGTGTGTGTTACCTCTTCGATACACACAAACACACACTTACCCTAAGGGAGTAGAGGTGTTCCCTTGTTTTGCTACTGAGAGGGGAGGAATTTATTTCTGTACAATGCTGGGAGGATGTTGTCTGCAGGGAGGATGTTGTCTGCTGGGAGGATGTCTGCTGCCTGGATACTGTCTTCCGGGAGAATGTTGTCTGCTGGGAGGAGGATGTCTGCTGGGAGGATGTTGTCTGCTGGGTGCATGCTATCTGCTGGGAGGATGTCTGCTGGCTAGATACTGTGTTCCTGGAGAATTTTGTCTGCTGGGAGGGTGTTGTCTGCTGGGAGAATTTTTTCTGCTGGGAGGATGTTGTCTACTGGGAGGATATTGTCTGCTGGGAAGATGTTGTCTGCTGGGAGGATGATGTCTGCTGGGAGGATGTTGTCTGCTGGGAGGATGTTGTCTGCTGGGAGAATGTTGTCTGCTGGGTGATTGTTGTCTGCTGGGAGGATGATATCTGCTGCGAGAATGATGTCTGCTTGGAGGATGTTGTCTGCTGGGTGAATGTTGTCTGCTGGGTGAATGTTGTCTGCTGGGAGGATGTTGTCTGCTGGGAGAATGTTGTCTGCTGGGTGATTGTTGTCTGCTGGGAGGATGATGTCTGCTGCGAGAATGATGTCTGCTGGGAGGATGTTGTATGCTGGGTGAATGTTGTCTGCTGGGTGAATGTTGTCTGCTGGGTGAATGTTGTCTGCTGGGTGAATGTTGTCTGCTGGGAGGATGATGTCTGTTGCGAGAATGCTGTATCTGCTGGCCTCCGAGACAACAAGTTGGGTGGAGGAAACATCAGGTTCTTGTATCATTTTGAGTATTTTTTTTATGGTGAACTCTCGCCTGAAAGAATACCCGATGCTCTGTTGATACCCGTCACCGGTTTACAAAGATGGACACTCACTCGAACCCTTTTATTTAAAGCAGGAGAGAGAGAGAGAGAGACAGAGAAACCCTCCTCTTGTAGGTGTCTCTCTTGGGAGAGATTTCCCCTCTTGTCCGGTTCCCACGGGTTTTACAGCTGTGTGATTCATACAAACACATTCGACCTGTGGCATTAACTGAATTTCACATATCATCGTTCACCCTGACGCCTCGTCACGAATGAATACCGAATGATTATGGAAAGGACGATGCAGAAGTGCCGAAGAGAGGACAGGAGGACGGCTTCTGCGTGAAATATTTTCAGCTCTACCAACTGGCAAAGATAAATAAACATGTCTCTACATTTTATCGGAAAGACATATACCATGAATATTTCCCTTCCTCTCCCCTCCACTCCTTGCCATCCCTGGCGACACTGCCACGGGCGGTGATGGTAGCGGGAGGATTATTGACCCCGAGGTACCCACTCGAAGTCCACTCCAGGACCACGAGGTACTGGTCTGTACCTCCATACACGCTCCAGGACCACGAGGCACTGGTCTGTACCTCCACACACGCTCCAGGACCAAGAGGCACTGGTCTGTACCTCCACACACGCTCCAGGACCAAGAGGCTTTAGCCTGTACCTCCACACACGCTCCAGGACCAAGAGGTACTGGTCTGTACCTCCACACACGATCTAGGACCAAGAGGTACTGGTCTGTACCTCCTCACACGCTCCAGGACCAAGAGGCTTTAGCCTGTACCTCCACACACGCTCTAGGACCAAGAGGCACTAGTCTGTGCCTCCACATATGCTCCAGGACCAAGAGGCACTGGTCTGTACCTCCACACACGCTCTAGGACCAAGAGGTACTAGTCTGTGCCTCCAATGGACCAGGGGGTCGGAGAGGCACTGGTTGCCCAAGGACCAAGAGGCACTGGTCTGTACCTCCACACACGCTCAGGACCAAGAGGCACTGGTCTGTACCTCCACACGCTCCAGGACCAAGAGGCACTGGTCTGTTCCTCCACACACGCTCCAGGACCAAGAGGACTGGTCTGTTCCTCCACGCTCTAGGACCAAGAGGCACTAGTCTGTGCCTCCACATATGCTCCAGGACCAAGAGGCACTGGTCTGTACCTCCACACACGCTCTAGGACCAAGAGGCACTAGTCTGTGCCTCCACATATGCTCCAGGACCAAGAGGCACTGGTCTGTACCTCCACACACGCTCTAGGACCAAGGCACTAGTCTGTGCCTCCACATATGCTCCAGGACCAAGAGGCACTGGTCTGTACCTCCACACACAGGGAAAAGTTTACGTTTGGGTGATCTGTTAACAGCTTCCTGATCTCTCTGGAATGACCAACAGGTTGATAATGCCACTGGCGGACGCACCGAGACATTAAACCAAAGCTCTACTCTTACAGGAGGGTCACTAAACTTCACAAAGAACTTCACAATTCAGTTATCCCGTATTTTTTTAACTGCTATTTTCTGTTTTGTCATGGAGGTGAGCTTTGAAGCTTGGTTAACGTAAACCATTGAGATAGGTACATATAAGTGGCCGAGCGAGGGAAAGAGAACACTTCCTGTGTGAGCGGTATGCCAGCCAACCCTCAAGTGTGGTCTGGGAAGAGCAGGAATACGGGTCAAGCAGTAGCACTCGTCCTCGTTATGATAGGGAGACAAATAAGAGAGTCTAGAAGTTAGATAGATAAATAGATAGGTTGACAACGACTCAGAAAGATGGGTGAACTTTAGGAGTAAGACAGAGAGGTAGAGTCATAGACAGTCATATGGACAGATATAGTTTTGGATAGGCAGTTGGACTTTACAACCCAAGGCTTCAGTGTTGACTGGGAAAGAACGAGAGATCTGTGAAATGAGAGAGAGAGAAGAGGAATATGTTGTCGAATGAAAGGTGTTTAGAAAGGGAAATGAAGGGCGAGAAAGAGAGAGTTAGACAGATGTATGAATGGAGACATGTTGTCGAGGAGAAGGGAGGGAGGCAGGAGAAAAGGTGAGGGAATGAAGAAATAAGCAATAAAACCGGATATCCAATTAGAGGAACGGGGTAACGGTGCCGCTACGCTGAGGACGGCAGAGAAACGTTCCAGAAGTGGGAGGCAGGGATGGAAGGCAGAGGTGGGAGGCAGAGGTGGGAGGCAGGGATGGGAGACAGAGGTGGGAGACAGAGATGGGAGACAGAGGTGGGAGACAGGGATGGGAGGCATGGATGGGAAACAGGTGGGAGACAGGTGGGAGGTAGAAGTGGGCGGTAGGGATGGAAGACAGAGGGAGGGAGACAGAGGTGGGAGACAGAGATGGGAGGCGGAGATGGGATACATGAATGGGAGACAGTACTGTATTATCCGTCCTTCCGTTTGGGGATCTCTTACCTAGGGTAACTCGTAGTTAAACAAGACGAATTTCGATCATACTTCATACGTAGCGTAATATTCAACACGGTGTCGCGAAAGGTCGATAAATTAGAATTTTTCTAACGTACTTTGAAGAAGTTTTGGCTCACTATTGTGTTTATGTTGGGTGTCCTGCATATTCGAGGTAAATTTACGTGTGTATTTTAGCTTAGTTTTCTATAATAATGTTTTAATACCTAGAAATTAAGACTCAGTCGTTCACCATCACCACCGTCATCCACCACCACTGACATCTTCAACCACCACTGACATCATCCACCACCACCGTCATCAACCACCACTGCCATCATCCGCCACACTTCTAAGAGGTGGGCTAGCTGTTGTATGGCAGGTGAGGTACAAGGGACGGAGACACCAAGATATTTAAAAGAATAAACATAGTCAATAGTGTTTTTACCTGTCTTGAACTTGGCGGGGCCGCGTTTGCAGTTACCAGCTTGTTTGTTGAACACCTTAGTTTTCTCAGTGGAGATAATAAGACCGAGGTTCTCACAGTCTGCGTGTACATGGTTCAGGGTGGTTTGCATTTCACGATGAGTTTTAGTACGTACAAAAATATCAGCATAGCTGACTGCTATATTGCTGGGGCTCTCTGATATTGAATTTAATAATGCATTCATGAGAACATTGAACAAAGTAGGAGTAAGTACCCCACCTTAAGGGGTGCAGCAGCCCTTCTGTTGGTGAGGTAACCACTTATTCAGTGTAACAGCCGACCTCCTATATCCATTTTGGCTAGTTCGTACAATATAAGTTACCTATTGGCAATATCAAATGCAGCTTTTAGGTCAAGAAATGTAAGCATCTGCGTCTTTCATCACCATGGACAGTTAAGAGTGTAGTGATGCTACCAAACAGGGAGGTACTACCGCCTGGGAAGACATTTGAAGCATAATGTGTTGTCTAATGGTAGACCCTGCTGCCATATGACATCACAAAAATTGTGACCAAGTCCCAGGTTGCTGATCTGACTTTCTGCCTCATTTACACAATTGCAGGGTCTCAATTGTTTCTCTTACTTGGACAACACAACATACATATATAATTTTTCACTCTTGATTATCCTTATTTTTATTTATGTCAATTATGATCATTATTTTGTTAAATTTGTAAAAAAAAATATTAGTATAATTAATGTTGTATTATAAATGTTATTTATTTTTATTAGTATTAACATCATCATCATTATTTTATTGCATTTTCGCCCCCAGGCCTTGATGTAGGTCATTACAAATTGGCTTGTGCCTGGGTGGGCTAATGCCCCCCAAAAAAAATGTATATATATATAATAAGATATATAAATAAATAAATAAACAAATAAATAAATAAATAAAATAAAATACATCTTTACCATGAGTGAAGCCATTTATGTTAGGGAATATGCATTCTCTGATTCTCGTACATAAGAGTCTGCCAAGAACCATCCTCTTAAAGGTTTTACACAGACAGTTGATTAGTGATATGGGACGAAAAGCATCAGGCTGTCCTGGTTTCGGTATTAGCACAACAATACTGTTGGTCTGGTGCTAATATTAGAATTGTTAAAATAATGTACCTAGGCTATACAAGATCTCTGATAGGTTACCACACACCAGCCCTGGTCCTACGTGACGGGAAAGGCATTGACAAGCTCGAAAAAATGCAAAATAAAGCCCCCAGAATTATCCTTGGATTCCCCGGGAGCATTAAAGTACTTAATATGAGGAACAAACTACTGTAGGTATACCCAGTGTCAAATATGAATTAATTACAGTCAACCTCATGATAGCCCTGAGGCTTTTGCGTGGTGATCTTGATAACATTGTTTCCTTAAAATTGCCAGAATGTATGAATCATGGGACTGGTGAATCTAAATACACCCAAACTACAGCTACACATATAAAGATGTTTGGACTAGACTATCTGTACAAAGTTGAGACACAACAGCACTTCCTTACACCCTGGCGGACAGTTCCTTTCGATATTACAATACCGACATATCCGCCTAAAAGATTAATTATACAATGTATTTGTCTTCAACACACTCCCAAAGTGAGAGCTCTTGAACACATACACACTCTACAGACAGATGATAATATCACACACACCATCTACACTGATGGAATTCTTAACACTGCCTGTGGGAGGGCTGGAAGTGCGATCGTTGTGACTCAACCTTACGGTAATACAATTGAAAAAGAGGTTAGAATTAACAACTGGGCATCCACTCTACAAACTGAATTAGTTGCCATACTCACAGCTTTTAAATTTATTGTAACCACTGTTACTGAGTGTCTGTCCTCACTACTTCCCGTGACACCCTCAATTTAAGTTGTCACGCGCTTGCCTCTGAAGCCAGACACAAATATGCGTACCTTGTTGACCAGGGTGTCAACTTTGTCAAGATCAAACTGTTGTGTATCCCCTCTCACATAGGCCTCAAAGAACATGACAGAGTTGATGCCCTCGCCAATCTCGCGTCTAACAAAGACACTGTTGAATACAATCTGGGTCTGTCAAA